AAATAGGGTGCCAGAGAAACAGCTGGCTGCCATTTGCACGGAGAGGGCCTTGAATTAATGTTCCTAAAACAGTGTTTCAGCCTCCAGTTGTTTCTTACCCAGAAGAGTCAGAGAAATACAGGTGACATCAAAGCTGGCGAAGCAGCTGAGCTGTTGTTCATCACGGAGCAGTAAAATAATCTGATAGGCAGAAACCAGAGTCACACTGAGCCACTGGTCACTTTCCTTTGAAGGCAGTGGGGACAAAGTTATTTTGAAGTTAAAGCTGTGGGTGCAAGAGGGAAGGCCTTGCAAGGTGTGTACTTAAGATGGCTCAGCCCTTGGGCCGATTCCTGTTGCTTTTAACGTGCCAAGAGGTGTAATCCTGTTTGAACTGATGCTCTGCACGCCTGCTGACTGCCTTCTGCTTTACTCCTCTTCCAGCTAAAGCAATCTAGGGAATGAAATGAGGGAGAAATGATAGTTGTGAAGGCCTGGTGGTCTGCACCTGTTCACCTAAATCTCTTTAACCTAAAAATGGAGCCGCTGAAAAATGACAACCACGGTCCCGCTCAGTAACAGAAACGGGTGTTTCCACTCCCAGCTGGGACTCTGTAGGACTAAAACGCTTGATGAAAACATGCAAGTTCTGCCCAGATGGTCTTGTAAGGGGACATCTGAAATGATAACGATGGACAAGATGTTTTGTTCTGTAATTTAAACAAGCCGTGTGGTCCTGCCGAGTTCAGCGCTCTCTGATTGCCTCTCTCAGGACGTGTCCCGTGCCAAGCTGGCAGCGATAATTCCAGACCCCGTGGTTGCACCTTCCATCGTGCCTGTTCTCAAGGATGAAGTGGACAGGAAACCCGAATATCCCAAACCAGACACTCAGCAAATGATTCCATTTCAGCCAAGACACTTAGCACGTAAGTCAGACCTGGGTGGAGGGTGGTTGAGTTTCACCTGGCGGCAAGTTACCAACCTGTGTGTGTTGAGTCAGCCTAATCAGAGCCTTCCCCAGTCTCCAGTCAGCTAAACCTGTACTTAAATTTTAGGCTCTTATTTCACTGTGTATGTTTTCCTCGGTATTAAGGTCACATGGAAATTAGTACGAGTAGTTTGGGTAAAATGATAATAAGCTGTTGCACACACTGCTCATAGAGCAGATCACTGACTAAACAATATGTAATTAGTAGAGAGGCCAGAGGGACAGGGTAGTAATTATTTGCATCAAATAATAATGCTGCAAAGACAATTATGGTCTATCTGTCTTGCACTGGCTTCACACAGTTTTTCTCCCCACAGCTCCAGGTTTGCATCCCGTCCCAGGTGGTGTATTTCCTGTTCCCCCAGCAGCTGTAGTTCTCATGAAGCTCCTGCCACCTCCTATTTGTTTTCAGGTTTGTTTTAATGCATCCTCAAAATTTCAGAAAGCTGTGGAAGAGATTCTGCTGTGACAGAACCACAGTCTGTATCACTCTATTGAAAATAACCTTCTAAACTTTTTTTCTTTTTTTTTTTTTTTGGGTAACAAATCAGGGTCCCTTTGTTCAAGTGGATGAGCTCATGGAGATATTCAGAAGATGCAAACTGCCAGACAGTAAGTTACTTGTCCTCTCTGCAGGCTGTGACAGTGCTGCATGAGATGTTTTACATACGGATATTGCCGCCTGAAATCCAGACCTCATTTCTATTTATAAATATGCAGTTTGTGTTTAAGAGCAAAGGGCTGTGTTTCTAGGCTGGAACCTACACAGAAATGTTTGTACTTTTATCTGGGGGGAGATAACAAAAAAGCTGAAAATCACCAGCTGCTCCCTTAATAAGACAATTAATTAATGATTGGTGAGACAACCACTGAAGGAAAGAAATGAAGACCTGCAGAATATCCTGTAGAAGCAGCAGGGCAGTTCTTCCAGCAGCATCATGGCTGTGATGTGGAATTACAGACTGGCAGCAGTGAATTGGTGGGCATTAACTCTGAGTGCACGTCCTTGCAGGGCAAACTAAGGGCAATCACAGGGAGAGCGAGCTGGGATTGAATCCAAGTGAAAATAAAATAGCTGTTTAAATCATACACAGTATTTTTAAAGGCTTCCTCTGCTGGTAAGCAGAAACTGCTCTGCCTACTTGCTGTTGAATCCTGAACTAGCTGTACTGTTCCCCTGGTTTATTTAAGCTCACAGATGACCTCAGTGCCTGTGCAGAGGGAGGGCTCATGCTGAAGCAGCAGCATCTGCTTCGTAATTAATGTTCACCACCGCTCGGAGCTTCAGGCAGTCAAGACTTAAAATATTAGCAGGACAGACAGGGAAAAATGCTTTATGTCCCAGAAGTCTCCCCCATTTCTGAATCAGTGATGTGTGATCAGGGAATTTAAGGCTCCCAAATCCAACGAGTCGGTGTCTCTCTCCCCAAGCTGTCGATGAAGCCGTGCGGATCATTACGGGGGGCCTGCCTGAAATAGCCGTGGAGGGCAATGGGCCCGTGGAGAACAACACCATCCTCAACAAGGCCGTGAAGAGATCACACGAGGATTCCGATGACGACGAGGAGAAAGGATCTGTGGTTCCCCCCGTCCATGACATTTACAGAGCGCGGCAGCAGAAGAGAATCCGGTGAAACGAGGCCGGAGTTCTGCTGTGGCAGACAAAGGACTCGCATTGAATCAGTCTCTTTAAAATAAAGTCAAGCGTTTAAAAGGGACAGCTGCAAACAAACAAACAAACAAAAAAAATCCTTGAAAATGGTTTTGTTAACTGTGGTGCCTCTTCTCCCGTATGGTTCTCGATCTGAAAAAACAGCCCGAACAACCTTAGAATGTGCTCTGAACAAAACTAGGTCTTCAGAACCAAAAGTGCAAAAATGTCAAAGCTGTATTTTGTTCTGCGAGGGTGTTCGCATCTACCACTTGAAATCTCGTGGGTTTTTAACAGTTTTATTTTAAAAACTGGATGGCTTATACTTGTGAAGCATTTTTAATTCACATTTTTCTGGAAAACAGTTGTTCTCAGTTTGTTCATGTAGTGTCCTGCCTTATTGTCCGTTTTTATTTATGGCAGAATGTAAGAAATCTGTTTTGTAGTTGAAAATCGGGGAAAAAAAAACCAAAAAAAACACATTCCTTTAAAATAAAAGGATATCCATAACTTCATGCCTCATTCTGGTTTTATTCAAACACAACAAGGTACTTCTTAAATATTACTCAGCCACTTCAAAAGCAATGCTAATAAGACCGTCACAGGAAATTGGTCAGAGCATACATATTAGAATGAGCTTGTTTTCCATTTTTCTAGAGGATACAGCACATACTTTTGCTTGTGGTTCCATGAGTGCTTGAAGGAGACAGCATCCTAAGGCTAAACTCAGCGTATGTTTCAAAGGTGGGTTGTCACAGGCTGGTCCTGGACACCTGCTCTTCCACTGTAAGGTACAAAGCTAAATATTAAATAATCAGCTACGTCATCTCACTTGTTATCATCTTCCAACAAGCTAAAAAATACCACTATATGAGCTTTCAAAGCAGTTTCTGTGAGCACTTGAGCTTTTAACTTGTTACTGGCTGTTCAGAGGGGCACTCTGATAGGATCTTAAGAACCCCCTTGGATACAGGACAGGGATTGGGGAAGTTGAAGAGGCTCCCATCTCCAGCAGCACAGCTGCCTGTGGGGTCAGTGCTCCTCTGCCAGGGGGAGAGATGAACCCCGAAAAGGGCCAGGTGGAGGAGGGGACTGGCCTTAGCAATCCTGGAATTCCTTTCTTGCTTTGCTGCTCAGTTGTGTCCCCCTGCTTCTGTGAGGATGTGGAGAAATTGTTTTCGGACAGTCCCATTAAAAAAAACACAATTTGGGAAAATCATTAACTTGATTTGCACTTGTGGACAAATCAGCTTTGCTGATCCAGACAATAACACACACCACACCAAAAGCCTACTCAGAGCCTTTTTTTTTCCTGGCTAACCAAGCTACTGATTTCTGAATGACCAAAGATTCAAAGACACTCATTTTACTATCTTGAGTTCATTCAGCCAAGAGAGAAAAATTTATCTGAGCTGGTAAATTCTTACAGGGTTTGGTGGTGGTTTTTCTCCCTGGGAGAAGGGGATTTGTAATCCCTTTGAGATAAGATTTGGTTTAGAGTTGCATAGGCTAATATAGAAAAAAGGTCTCATTTATCTCATCTTCCTCCAAAATCAAAGTCAGTGCAGCTCTGTCCAAACTGACATTTAAAGGAAAACTGGAAAGGGAAGCATCAACACCGATTCATAATCAAGCGCTTCTAGAAGTTCTCTTGCTTTGTTTGACTATAGTTGATTCACAAATTAACCTGGTGTTGGCACTAAAAGGGCCCTTTTATTTATTTATTTATTTTACATACCTTGTTGTTTGGTTGGTTTTTTTCTTTTTTCCCCAAAGACAAGACATTCTGGCTGGGATAGCTTAGTACTTGGAGCACTTACTGTTTATTAGAGCTATGAACTTTTTGCTTTCCTAAAACCATCAAATATTGATTACTGTAAAAACACAGTTGTGCTCAACCAGAGGGAAATTCCAGATGCACTTACCTGCCAGCTGGGTCTGAAGTTGCAGTGAGGCTGTAAGACCACTGAGCTCTTCTGAGAACGCTCATCTACACAACACTTTAATAGCTAATTAAATTCAAGGCCTAGAAATATTCTAAAAGAACACCTCTACAAAGTGAAAAAAAAAAAAAAATTACTGAAAGTATTCCCTGTATGTTCAAACTAAGTCAATCCCCTTTCACAATACATTAAAATCATTTATACTGCCCATTAGTGCTCTGCACTTCCTGGATATTTTTGAAGACGTGATTGAATGTGCAACCACCTCCTGTTGTAGTTTAAAAAAAAAAACAAAAAAAAAACCAAAACCATCCAAAACAAGTAAAATTTCCAGCCTAAAGTTTCACAAACTTTAAATCCACCTTCTGAAAGTGACACAGATTTACTTTAAAATTAGTAAATTTCACATAAAAAGGAGGAAACTACTAGCAAAACAAGGTAAGAAATACCACTTTTATCAAAACATTTTGGCTCTGCCCTTCTTAAGTCTTTACAAGAGATAAATACAGCTGCAATCTATAAGATTGCCACCTCTGTGAGTACTGTACATAGCAGAGGACAGTTACCCAATAACCAGAAAATTTACTACAAAAATATATTATGTTTTGTAACATCTGCAGGTAAACAGCAAAAAAACGCTATTAAAAATGCAGTAAAATGCAGAAAAAACCAGTAGCCTACCATAGTGATCATAATGTTACAATAAAGTGCTGTTTGGGTTGGTTTTGTGTCAAAGTTCCTCTTACCTAGAATTTTAGTTTTCTTAACTCCTTAAAGTAAGATATATTTTTAAAACCGTATCACCCCTTCTGGGAAGAACCACTGCTAAACTGCTCTGGATTAATTAAACTGAATTCACTGTAAATTAAAGAGTTAAATGCCCTAAAAACGAGCCACTTAAATACCAAGTTCTGTTCTTCAACTCGCCCCGCCTAGAATCAGCTCCAAAATGTAAAAAATTACAGCCAGAAAACTACCACGATATCCCCCCCCTAGGTTGCACCCTTACATTAAAAATGCACCTCTCATCATTTGCTTCAGAACCCCTTCTGCACCTCGAGTATTTCCCTCACCAGCCATCACTCGTGAATTAGAAGGAACCGGTATTTACACGGAAAGCTGTTTTTCCTAGACAAATATTGGTACAATTTTTATTTAATAGCTGACAATACCGTTATTGGTAGCACACAAACTTGTGGGTTTAGGACTCTTCTGGCTTCCCTACAAGCTGGGGTTCTCCCTTAGTCAGTATTTTGCCAAGGACTGCATCGTAGTAAGGGCTGAAGACCATCTTGTTGTAGTTGACGAGACGAACGTACTTGGCAGCGACATCTTCCAGCTCCCTTTGGATAGGGCCTAATCCTCCAGGGATGGAAGGCAGGGTTTTCTGGTGACTGGATGCAAGATAATTCTCCAGGAACTTTTGAATTCGAGAATCTGGGGGAAAAAAAAAAAAATTGGGTTTGGTTTGTTTTCCAAAGAGATGGTCCATTAGGGATGGTGTGAGCTCCTGTAAAAATACAGTGAGCCCGAACACAGTCGAGTATCTGAGACACGAAATGGGACGCCCAGCACGACAAACCCCCAGCAGTTACCCAGGGAACGCTCCCAGGAGAGCAGGGCAGCGGTGCCAGACGTACCTATGAGCCTGCAGATGGTGTTATCTGGGTTGGCCACTGCTTGGATCTGCCCCTTGAGCACAGCCTCTCTCTCTGCTGAGAAGGGGGTGAAGCCGTGCTGGGACAGGCAGCTGTTCACTTCAGCACACACCTTCTCCCCGATGGTGGCCAGAGATTCCTTCAGGTTAAAGGAGCTACAGAACGTGGAGCAGAGCATTACTGAACCAAACATTTACTTCTGTCTCGCCTTTTAAAAGACAAAAACCATTCAATTCCAGTTGCCTCGTTGATCAAATGCAACGGAAAAAGCACAATGCAGATAAAGCCAGAATTATAAAGAATAGTACCTTTTAGAGATATCTGAAAGATAAAGCTGAGCTCTAAACCAAGGAAGTAGGAGAGCATTAAAGACTTCCAGCCTGACCAATGGATACACACCAGAGCTGACTTTCTTTCTGCTTTCAGCTCTGACTAATGCCCAACCAGTTACCAGCAATCACTCTGCATCTGCAGGCAGCTTGCTGTGCCACACTCAGGTTCCTGGGGGAGCCTGGCCCAAACCACGAGCAGGGTTAAGCTGCTGGCCCCCTCACGTGCCAGCCTGGCATCATAAAAGCACACTGGAAAAGCAGGGTGTGCGTTTCATAAAAGAACAGAGCAAGAAAAGACAGCTCCGAGCGAGCGAGCTGAGGAAAAACTGACAGCCTGGGTTCTTGGAAAGCCCTCACCACCTTCCCTGCCTATCCTGCAGTCCAGGAGGAGACAGAGAGCCTTACACTGGTTATTTACCAGGGTGAGAACAGAGTTACACCTGCCCCTGGGTGAGCAGGACCGTTCCATACTCACGGAAGGTGCGTTCCCGTCAGCAGCACCTTGACGATGGTTTTGATTTTCTCGGCAAATCCAGGCACGTCAACGAGCGCTGGGCCTGCTGCGCTGAAGGTGACCAGGAGCACTGTCCCCACCAGCAGGAGCTGCTCCAGCTCCAGCTGGATTTCCAGGAAGCGGGTCTGGTCCATGAGCAATGTCTGCAAGGAGGGAGGAACCAGCACAGGACGGGGTCAGTTTGCTGGGCTGGGAAGGGACACCGGGATGCAACAGGAAAGATAAGACAACGACACAAGCACAGCACCTTTTTTTTTTTTTTTTTTGTTAAATACCTACTTCTGGAAAAGGCCTGTTCACATGATCCCACTTTAGGAGCTTCAAATAGGCCTGATTTTGTACAGCAGTGAAGCACAAGGTGGAGGTTCCACCGGTAGCACCGTCGTTGGAGTGGGGAGGCAACGTTTCATGTCCCAGCTTTGTGAGATCATCCGCTGCCTCTTGCAACCACTTTGTGACAAGGTCTAAAGAATCTGCAGGAGCAAGGGGGGGAAAAAAAAAATCTCGTTAGGAAAATTCCCTCTCCAAGTTGGGTGTTTTACCACCGATAATTTCCAAACTATCCCATTAGTTACTATGACCAACACCCACGGTATCAATCGATGACATGCATTTTATTTATTGCATCAAGCAGAACATCTAAAACAAAACCACACAGCTACAGGAAATCAGAGGTGAGATGATGCTGGGTAATCATGCCCTACACTGTATTGAAATTAAACCGGACTCCAGAGCACTAAGTGCAGAACTATTGTTCTGGCAGATTCTTTTTTCTAACCACGGTTCTGGGGCACAAGCTGTCATTTACCACATGAACTTTTATAAAAATATCTGGGGTTTTTTTCATGTTCTACAAGCAAAAACACGCAGTTTACTAGGAGGTCACAGGGGAAGAAAGAAAGGAACAAAGTCATACTTGGCTGTTTCTCAAGAAACTCCTGAAACTTCTTTCTTTCATATTCAGCAGACTGCTGCATTAATTTTGGCCTAATACTACTGACAGCGAAGTTTGCCATATCCATTTTCATTAGGTCTAATACAGAGAAAATGGCTCTAAACAAACAAACAGAAAAAGTTATTCAAGGCTGCAGATGTTTCAGAGGTGCTGTTTACAAGATTTATTACAGACACTGCCTAAGGAAAGAGCAAAAAACATGCATGGGAAACAGTACCAGGGTGCTTAACCATTTAAAAGCATGAGACAGAGAGAAAGCTTGAGCAAGCATGTACATGCAGGCATGTGCCTCTTCCAAGGAGGAAAGAAATCTTGCTCTCCTGTAAAAAAGGCCTCCATGGAATTAACTTCACTAGCTCCATAGATTGTATCTCCCAGGATGTGCAATGTTGTATCTTGAATATATAAAAAGCCCATCTGGGTTTCCAGGCTTGCATGCTCTCTCTCTGTTGGCAGCCTAGAAAGCCAACCTCTGTGGGAAGTGAATAATCAGACCAGAGGGAAAAAAAAGAAAAGAAAACAAACAAACAAACAAAAAAAAACACACCAAAGAACCCCTTAATTTCAAAGCAACCTAATTCCTGCTGGCCATAATTCTGCCAAAAGTCAATCCTGAACTCTTGGAAGTTTTGCAAATTAGGAAACAGCAAGGTTGGTGAAACTTCTAACTGTTGAGACCTTGAGCTGAGAAAAGGGTGACAAAGCAGAAGTTCCCAGCTGTGGGTACAACACACTCCCTTCAGAACTGACAGGACTTCATACAGGGAGTGGGGTAAAGAGAGCTCAAACTGGGAGGAAAGGACAAACTGCTTGGAAACCAGCAGCACTTCTTTGCTATGCTCCTGTGGGCTCTTTTTTCTCCTTTTGCTGTTGATGTCAATTTTTTTTGTTACAAACTGACTATTCCCCTGCTGTCCTAAGGCTTAGATGCATTTGGCATTTAAGAAAGCATCTCTCACTGACATGCAGGGGCCACACAAACACCCCAACTCACCAGAACAGAGATGGTTCCTGTTAATGACTCCTGGAGCATCTCTCCCCTTCACGCCCACAGCTGTTTCCCTTTCCCTATCAGTTTTTTTTTTATTCCTAGGAGCTGCCCTGCTGGAACACCCCCCCACACACACACATCTAAAACTATTAAAGGGACTCTGAGCATGACTAATAAACACCATTTCAGTACCTGAACAGAGGGACTATTTCATGAATGTCATTCAGTTTCTTAATTTCTTCATCTCGGGCTGGAGCACAGAGAGTCCCCATCATCCCAATAACAAACTTGACCAACTTGGAAATGTCAAGGGCCCCATTTTCTGCCTCCTGTTTTATCAAATCCAGATCAAGAACTTCTGTAATCTGGTTTCTCAGTCTAGTATGACCAGGCAACAAGAAAGACAGGAGGTTCTGAAATGGAAGGTTTTTAACAGTGCATTAGTCCTACATAGCAAAGAGCACAAGGATCCAAACCCCTTCTTACAGAATCAGAGAATCACACAGTGGTTTGGGTAGGGAAGGGACCCTAAAGATCATTTGGTCCCAAGCAGGGACACCTCCCACCAGACCAGGCTGCTCAATGCCCCATCCAACCTGGCCTTGGACACTTTAGGGACGGGGCATATTCTTATTTAAATAAAGTGCCCTTTAAAAGTAGAATTTTTTAATTTATTTTTTTTTTAACCAACCACTCACCAACTCCAGATGTTTCACCTTGTCCTGTGCGATAGTGAAGTTACTAAGTGGTAAATACTCGTGGCACAAATCATACTTCAGACTACTGTGCTCAGTTTTATCAGCCCAGTGTTGGGGCATCCCACTGATTCCATAACTAATATCACTGCCATAACACGAAGGAAGCTTGGAATTATGAAACTGGTATTACTTACAGGGGTTTGCATTTGGCTTTAAATGCAAATTTCTCCTCTGGGGTCATACAACTTATTTATGTTCACAGACAATGATACAGTAATGAAAAAGAGCACAGGAGTCTTTTATGGAAAGCCAAGCTTCAACCACTTCTGCTCATTCATGTCAATGCACTACTCAAATTCAGTCATTCACTTTGGTATCACATCATCATCTTACCTCTTTAATTTCTCCCAGCAGTTTAATTGCATGATCATATGTTGGTGGATCTTCCTTTAACTGAGCTTCCAGACAATCCCAGAAAGCTTTATGCACAATATCTCTTACTTTCTTTTCCAAGCTGTGGGTAAACAGGACCAGTTAAAAAGAATGGCACTTGTCTCTGCACCACCTTACAAAGATAACCCACAGCTCCTGAGGAAGAGCACGTAATAATATGAATATAATGTAATAATGAATATATGATGATTAACAGGGAAGAGATCTGTCATTTTATGTTACTTGGAAAAGCAAGAAAAACTGGACACAGGATTTGGAATGGCTTATGTCCTAATAAAGGGTTACACACCAACAAAGGTGGCTACAAATTAAAGTACTTGAAAGTTTATCCTATGCTACATCTAAACCAGACAACTGGAAATAAAAAAAATTAGTCACATAAATTACAGTTTGTCTTCCAAAGACCAGTATTCATGTTCCTTTTAAAGGCCTCACTAAGTAAAAGGTAAAATTCATTAGTAAACCTAAACAGAAACGAAGCAACTTCCCTGACACAAAAGCTTCTGTGTCTCAGGGCATAAATATTGCATCTACTGTGAGATAAGGGCCCAGAGAAGCTTGTGTAAAAAAAAACAACAGACAAATTCCACTGCTTCAGTACCAATTCAGTACCTTCACCTGATCCCCCAGAGCTGCCCTGCAGTTCTACAAATGCAAACTTCATCTCCAGAGATATATACAGATACATTTTCACGGCTGTATTAGGTAACAATCTTACCTGTGTTCTGGTAACTCTGCTGGTTTTATCTGGAAGTCTCCATTGACCACAATCTCGTGTGCCAGTGCCATGTTGGTGACTCCCTTGGCTGTTTCCATGAGCTCCTCTATGGACACGGGCCGAGGAGGACTGGCTGCAACGTGAATTGTTACACTGTCAGACAGGTCTCTACAAAACCTGCCGAAAATAAAGTCTGCTAAGGTTTTTGTACCCTTTCCACCTCACTGGCAGTACAGAGGGTCAAACTGGCAGTGTCACCTGAAGATTCTTTGCCTTCCCTTCCTTTCCCATCTGGTGGATGACACGGGTTTGGAGCATTACAGGAAGCAAAGAAGCGAGTCCCAGTTGACATTCAGGGCTCAGAACCTGTTTCCAAGTTCTATCAAGCTGTTTTAAGAACCAAACCCAAACAAAACCCCACATCCAAACTGGTACTTCTTTAGGATGGATTAACAGCATCTCACCATCTTTCTCTGTACTGTGGGAAGAAATAATTAAAAGTACCAGCATTTCCACCACGCTATTTCCACACGTACTGTGTAGATGCTGCCATTTCAATTTTACATTTTTCAAGGAAATTACTTCATCTTTACATCAGTCAGCAAACAAATCACAGAAGTGTTAAGCAGTAACACACCAGTAGCTAATTATCCTTGTTACTTCCAGCACCACTGGCACTCCTCCAAGCCCTTCTTTTCCCCCAGAGGCCACCATCCAAGCAACAAAGGATGTCAAGACCTAATCCCAGCTCCAATGCCCAAGATCTCTTTCCCTGGCAGGCATTTGGGACTGACCAGGGCGGACCAGCAGCTTCAAACAGGGCCCTGGGGGGCACATAAGGAGGAAGCACCAAACATGAAAAAAACACCAGAAAGGCAGAGCAGGTGCCAAGGGTGTAGGTCCTGCTGGTTAGGGGAGTGATCCCACCTCGCTGAAGCCTCCTGAAAGCACCGATTCTCTGTGGTGAAGGGTCCTCCCTGCTGTGCAGTGTCAGTGTGTGTGTGTGTGAGCCAGGAGCAACACGCTAATCCCAAAATGAAAGAACTGAACCAGGGATCTTCATAGGCTGGGTTCACTGAGATAGGTTTTAGGCAAACTATGATGGCAGCCTCATTTGATAACCCCTGCTGATTTGACTTAGGCAATTACATAGAAAAGGTCTTTTATAAGTAACTGTCCATCACTTGTCTGGCACTCAGAGCTCTTCTGAGGATATGCAGTGTGGTTCCAGTGTGCTGATTCTTCATTAACATCTTGCTCTTCTCCTGCAGCCCTCCTAAATCCTCTTTTCCTTCTGCTTGGAGCTTAATGTTGCAGAGTGACTCTGGGAACACAGCAAGGATTGACATTCTGAGAAGAACCAGCAGACAGCAACGCTCACAGCTGAATGAGAGTGCTCTTGTCCCTCTGCCAAATGACTTCACTCCAGCAGTGGCTGCACTAAAAGCCAAGACTCTCATTTACCACGGAACACTCTTAAATCACCTGATCTGCTCCCTTTAAACAAGGGAAGGGCTGGAAACCAACCACTTCTTTGTGGTACAATGCAGTGCAAGACCGTGCTGTGCTTTTCACTTTCACGTGTCCAGAGCTTCTCTCCACACATCCATCCCATAAACTCCCTCAGAACACCTCCCTCTGTGTGACATGGCACTAAACACAGCACTAAACCTCAAATGATATTGAACTCCATTAAAAAATAAAAAGAATACAGCAAGCGAAGTGTTACAGGCTGAGACACTCTCCACAGAAATTTAGAGCTGGTTGTCTGAGCGCTTCTGCCTCTTTGAGTTGAATCCCTGGAGCCAGAAAACTTCCCCTTGGTTTCATCTATAGATTTGCCAGGAATGTTTGGTATATATATCTATATATGCATATATATATATATCTGCATCCAGCTCCTCATGTTAAAAGCAGAATGACGAGGAAAAGTACGCCTTAGGAATGAGCTTAAAATATACAGCATTAGGATAAAATATACAACTTTCCATCTACATTGTGAGGGGGATGACAGGACGTTCCTTTGTTGATCACAGCCTTCCTTGCCCTGCAGTGGGAACAGAGAGGCTGCAACAATCCAGAAGGTTCAGCTGATAAGGCAAACAGCAGCAGCAGTAGCTGGAACACCCCAGGATGGTGCCCTACCCCTTCCATGAGCACAAACACAGCAGGGTGTTTAAGATACATGGGGATCAGAGCAGCATGGTCAGTATGAACAGTGAGGTACTAAAGGAAAACGGGGAGAAGGGTTTTACAGTTCCAGAGCAAAGCATCAGGAGTCACACTACATTTCACTGCACAGACACTCAAACTGGCACAGAACGGTGTAAAACACTGGGATTGCCTCCACCAAAAACTACAGAATATTCTGTTGTCATTACTTTCCATGCAGCAATTTTGCTTACACTTGGGGGTGTCATCTCTGTGTGGCCCTGGAGGGCTCTGCCGTATCCTTTTCCGGACAGACTGATCCGGGTTGTCCGAGTTCTCCTCCCGAGCATCCTCCGGACCGCTCAGCTTTTCTTCACTTGAGTGCAGCTTGTCGGGATTCTGAGACATTTTCAGCTGGTTCTCTACAAAAAAAAAAAGAAAAAAAAAAGAAAAAATACAGAAAAGGGAACGAAAACATCACCAGGAGTTGTCTTGATTAAGAAAAAAATTAGGAATGAAAGAATTCTTCTGAGGAATTATATGATGTCATCCCTATAATGGCAGGAGACCTGGACTCAGTGACTCACTTCCCATTTCCCACAAAATGGGATGCTTTCAACACAGCTACCATTTATTAATCTGCATTCCTACTTAAGTTCTCAAAAATCTGACAGTGCTCCCTTGCCATCATGATACAGATGAGAGAGAAAAAGATACTCAGTTCTCTTTCTTAGCACTGCTTCTGAGAGAGCAGTGAAAAACATCTTCAGAACAGTATTACAAAGATGTTTTACAAAAAGATTATGTCAAATGAGCTGTTTCCTCACTGCACAGCAATAAATTTTCCTCAACATAACGCTCTCCCAAACCATGATCTACCCCAACTTCTCAGAACTTAAAAGCTTTCACTCTGAGCCATCCAAAAGCATTAAGAAGCAGGAAAAGGACTAGAGAGAAATCAACATAAAATTCTACTCCCATATTTTTGTTCCATGCAAGAGTCATGATTTATGCATAAAATTCAGGGTTTTTTAAAATTAAGACAGTAAAGAATAGTTACAGTACTTAAAATATTAGTTTATTAGACATCATATTACTTTTTTTAATTATATTACCAAGATATTTATATTACATCACAGATACATGCAGTGTACCCAAAGTTATTAAGAAAAAAATTACCATAAGAAAAGCAAGTCTCACCATTCACTATCTGCACTTATTTCACCCTCAGATTTCTCTCTGAAGAATGCAGTTTGTACACCCACCATGAAAACTGCTGTGCAGGAAGCTGCTGTTAAGGCTCCAGTTATTCATAAACCTGTTAGAGAGCATATGATGTCTCTAACTCAATTAAATAGCCTGGATGTTCTGTGAAGGGGGAGTCAGAAACTGAGTCTGCCTTTCAAAATAAAAGGAAGCTCCTGGAAAAAAACTTCTTCTTTCCCCTGGTCTCCCACCGCCCCCACTTTCAAAATTTGAAAGGAGCAAGCTCTGAGCAAGAGATTCACCCTCCAGAGGCACCTCACAGCTACCAGGAGGAAATACTTGCAGCATCAAAGAGGGTGCAGCAGAAGCAAGCAACAGTGCAGAAATATAAAATGCAGCGTGGAGACTGTTTTATGTTCACACAACAGCTGTAATAACCAACCCTGCCCCATCAGTGCTTAACTGACTGCAGCAGTGGGATTCTACAGGACAGCTGGAAAGCTCAGTGCACGTAAGAAACAGTTTTGTTCCCCAGCAATGACTCAGGATCATCATCTTGCTCGGTGCGTGAGAGACAACAGCATGCAGCACTTGCCCACAGCACTGCGAGATTTCTATTTTAGAAAAGCAAACAGCACAAAAAGCATGGGATAAACCATATGGGGAAACCAAGGCATCGGTACAGAATCATACACTGGCCTACAGCTGGAACAGAGTCACTGATGTCCCTGCTCCAAACGCTTCACTGTGTCCCTCTTCACACACACAGAGACTGGGACAAGCAAGGGCTGATCTGAGCACAGCTGCAGTCACATTGCCACCTTCTGAACCAGGGCAGAGAGAGCCTCCAGCACGGTGTAACTCCAGGCATCCCACCCAGCAAGGAATCAGGAAACCAGCGGGAAAGCAGTGACACGCTCCAGGAGAAGAGGACTAGACAGCCGCTCTTCCTATCAGCTCTCTTACTTACAGAGGGGAAACTCCGGTGCGAGTTAAGTTGCCTGAGGACTCACAGAAGATAAATGACAGGGACAAGACTACAATCAGTCTCGTGACTGCTACCCCCAGCTTTGCCCACCAGGTCATCATTCCTACCACGCAGACTACACCCCATAAAATGGCAGCTCGAGAGCTACATCCTCAAACACAAAAGTTTCATTTAATTACCACTTGTTTAAAAGAAAGTCCTGTTTCAGCTGTGGAAGGCGGGCACAAGAACTCCTGGGCCATTCTACCAAATGACTGTTCAGCAGATGAGTTAAACGGGCACACTTGCTGGTTTAGTTGTTTAGTTTGCAATAGTCTACTCTTTTCTGCTGGATTACTGCTATTATTTGCCAGAACACGTCTAGAACATATCCTCTTTCCACTGGGTAAATAAGCTCAACAATACCTTTTCCAGAAGCACAATCATCATCTTTCCTTTCACAGAAACAACTCTGCCTCTTAATGGAGCGAAGTCTACTTCTTGGCACTTTCATTTACTTTTAATAAAAACAGAAACGCAGGAGGAAAAACCCAACAGATTAAAATTTAAACAAAATATTTTTTTCCACTGGCTCTTTTCACCAAAGGTCCTCAAGCCATCCGATGCACACCAGCACTGGATAAATTTCACCGTGCATCCACGGAGCACACCTTAATTAGGGTTGAAGCAGCTCCTCCAGCGCTGCCCCACTGCTCCCTATGAGACAGCACTTGACAGCTGCCCTAACCCTGAGGGCTGCCTGGCCTCAGGCTTCATTCCTCTGCCCTTCCCTCTGTTCACCTGCCACATCGCAGCCTACTTTCCCCTCGTCCCCCTTCCCAATGGCCAGGTCTGCTGGTGAAATCCCGCAGTTTTCCCTCCTCGGTCCCTCCCCGCGGGAGCACACGGGGGGCCGTCCCCACCGCACCCCGCCCGGCAGCGGCGGCGGCTCCGGGCCGGGCACCGCTCCTCCCCGCGCCGCTGCCGAGCCTCATCGATGGGCCACCACGGGAAGAAAACGAGCCCGGGGCGGGCAGTGGGATGCACCGGGAGCACGGGGATGCGGTGCCGAGCTCACCCAGCCGAGCTCACCCCGCGGCCCCGGCGCAGCCCCTGCCCGGCCGGGCCCGGAGCCGCCGCGGCGCCCCCTCGCCGGTGCCGAGCCCAGGCCCGGGCACTGCCCGCCGCTCTCCCACCCTCCCCGAGCCCCCGGGGCAGCCCCCCGGGCCGGGCCGCCCCCTCTTACCGCCGCTCGGAGCAGGGGCCGCGGCCGCCGGCGCTGACGGGCCCGGCTCCCCTCCCGGCGGCCGCGGAGCGGGGCTGGGCCGGCGCCGCAGCCCCAGCGCAGGGCGGGCCGCGGCGGCTCCGGGGCGGGGCGAGGGGCCCCCGCGCCGGGAACGGGGGGTTTTCCCTCCGCGAAGGGGCGAGGAGCCGCTCGGCTCCGCGCTGAGGGAGCGCCGGCTGCCCTCAGGGCTCCCGGCGGCTTTGGGGACGAGCCAGGTCCCGACCCCAAACCAGAGCAAGGGCCGCGCCCCAATAACCTGCGCCCGGGGCTCCACAGAATCAGCGAGGTTGGAAAAGACCTCTGAGATCGTCGAGCGCAACCTTTGACTTAACACCACCTTGACCGTGGCACTCAGTGCCGCATCCAGTCTCTTAAATACCTCCGGGGACGGTGACTCCACCACCTCCCGGGGCAGCCCAGTGCAGTGCCCAGTCACTCTCTCTGTAAAGAATTTCTTCCTAATGTCTGATCTAAACCTCCCCTGGCGCAGCTTAAGACCGTGCCCTCTTGTCCTACTGCTGGTCGCCTGCAAGAAGAGGCTGACGCCCACCTGGCTACACCCTCCTGTCGGGGAGGTGAGAGTGATGAGGTGTCCCCTGAGCCTCCCCTTCTCCTGGCTCAACAATCCCAGCACTTGTGCTCTGACACAGAGGGACAGAGAGATGTATGACTGCTTCAACCACGCTGGACCAAGTCAGATTAAACCCACCCCAGCAAGCAGGGAAAGCAGCCGTGGCTTGTCCTTGCTGTCCTTAAGACACCTCACCCAGCTCACAGAGGTTCCTCCCAAGTGAAATCTTAGCTACTTCTAGAGGAGAGGGGTGGCCCTGCGGACCCTGCCTTGTGCCCACTGGTGAATATTCCCGCCCCGTTCCTCTCTGCAGGCTGCTTTTCCGTACCCTGAAAGCAAACTTGGCAGCAGAGCCAGCCCAGTGACTCACAGGGCAGGATCTGTAAATCGGAACTCTCACTGCAGCAGGCAATGCCCACAGGCAGGAACTCATTTTCAAGATAGAAATCTCATCCTCTTAACCGTGGTGTTAAAGCAGGCAGGAGTTAGAAAGGGAATATACTTCTGCTGAAGAGGGAACCAATGCAGCACCATAAGTAACTTATTTTAACATATTTTTCCTGAGAACAAGGAACTGCCTTTCCACCCCCACATTTTAAAGTGAGAGTTAAGCCAACTTTTCTGAGGAAGTACATTTATAATAAAAAGCTTTCAGTTAAGACTAAGAACTACAAAATATAACTACTAAAAAGGGTTATACTTCCCCCCACACACACTAGAACTGGATATTTTTTAGAAGTCCTTTCTAACTGAGTAGAATAAGCTTTTCCTAAGTTTGTCATCCATCCCCCCCTCAGGACACAGAACACATTGTCCTATTGCACACCAAGCCCTCAGCTGTGTTTCACAGAAAGCACTTGGGCCACTGGCACCAGACACCACTAATGACTGAAGAGTTACTTATGGAGACACATTACAGCATCTCACATAGGGCTGTGTTTTTAAAAATCAGATCACTATGTGTTTGTAACAGTTATTACTACCTTGTTGTCATAATTAAACTAGCTTTTGTTCCCAAAGAGAAGAAAACAAAAATGGAACAACATTTGTTATTTCTTTCAACAGCAGCTGTAACGAAGTTTAGCTGATACCATCCCAAAGATAACCCCACAAAGCCAAAATTAGATCTCTAATCATGCTCTGTATCTGCCTGCACTTGCCTGTGCTGCAAAGCTTGGGATTTCCATCATAGACCAGACACAGATAAAATATACAGCCACAAGACAAGCCAAAGGCCCTTCCTTCGCTCCAGCTCTTTTCTAATTACAGCTGGTGCCATCAATAAGAGTTACAGTCAGAGCAAAACACTGCAGGGATGAAGATAACCGGCCATAAACAGTCCATCCTGTGGCAACCAAAGCCAGGGTGATTTAAAAAGAATCCAGAATATCTTTTACCATCCCAGGAGAGTCAGTTCCTCGAGATGGTGCCATTTGAGCTCAGAACAGCACAGTGAGTTGTCATGCACATGCACAGTGTAGTTAGCTGGCAAGCTGGAAGGAAAGCTGTGGAACATCAAGCAGGAGATGGTTATTCAGCTCTATCCATTACACAGAAACTCAAAGATCAATGCTACGTGTCAGTCACATAACGCAAATTGGAAAAAAAAAAAAAGTTCAGCGTAAGATTCAGTGCTGGGGTAAAAGGTGACAGAGACATCTCATTCACAGTGTCTTCCATCTCAGGAATTTTGATATTTGAATAGAGGGAGTCAATAGACTTGGCTTTAGGTGAGGAAAAGGATGGATTATTTTGGTCCTATAGCAATTAAGAATGAGAAAAGCTAAACTATAAACAAAGGCCACTTTTGTACTGTTGGCTTTGGTAATAACTGAATAAATTCCATCCACTTCCACAAAATAATTTTATTAGGCAGAATACATGAATATAAAAATTTACAAATATATTAGTGTTTTCAATGCTGGAGTATACAAAGTAATCTATATTTAAAGCCTCACACACACATATTAGTAACTCTATCTCCAAAATACTGCATAAAAATACTTGGATTACTGCTATGAAACTGATCTAGCAGTCTCTTTCTCTCTTTGTCAGAGAGCTTTGAGTCTTCGTCGATCGCTTTCAACAGGGACAACAGCTCATCTTTGGTGGTCTTCTCCGTACTGGAGCGATACTCTCTTTCATCGAGTTTTTGGCAAAAGGTGTAGCCTGAAAGGAAGCAAGAGACATTCAGAGAGTTAACACCACACTCAGCCACCCCGGAGATTCCACAGACCCACCCCTCCTCTAGAGTCAAATCAGTCAGCATTACAGCAGGTACTTTTTGCAGCACCCATTTCTCATTTGGGGGCGTGACAAGATTAAAGAGCTCCATTCGAACTGTTACCTGTTATCTTACTGGGATCCTGGCCTTTCTGCAGAGCCAGCAGTTTATTGCTGACCATCTTATGCAGTGTCCCTGGGATCTTGAAGGGAAAGAGAAGACAGTGCACCCTAAGTTTGGCAAAGGCAGTTCTGCACAGGTGTACAAGATTAGCCAAAACCTGGTCGTTTCCTAGCTCTTACCTTTAACACATCTCTTTGGTTGTCCACCAGGAACAAGATCAGGAGGTCAGTTTTCCCTCTGGATAAGTTTTTATTGTTGATAATAGCTTTGGAGAATGTTCTTTTCACGACCATCCTGTTGTCACTCTAAAGGACAAAGCGATTTAAGGACAAAAAGAGGAGAATTGGTCTGCCCCCCCTCGTTGCTCTTCCAGAGTCACTGCTCTTCCTGTAGCCACATATTTAAGCTACAAACACATTTTCTGACCAGTGCCTGTGACCTCTAGATTTCAGTAAGTGTAAAGCATCTGTTAAGCACACACTTACCTCCTTCTGCAGTTTGAGCTCAGAACTGTGTGCTGCAACAGCCATGAAGTACAACAGTCTCCTGAACTCCTCCCTGACTTGGCTGTCTAGAAGTTTCAAATACAGCTGAAGAGCTTCTAGAGATTGCTCCATCTTCCCATTCACTGGGGAGAGACAAGGGTACCTATTGCCTTATTGATTTAAACAAACTTTGCAATGGAACACCTAAATTAGCCACTGAAGAGACCTTCATCTCTCTACACAGACCTGGTCAAACTAAGCCATTAATTCTCACAAAAACTTCTCACAGGTTGATGAGAGCCTCTTGCAGGCAGCCTGAGAACATCCCACATACAGGCTTGCAGACTGGTATTTAAGTAGGCTCACTTGCAATTAAGTTCAATTACAGTTCAGCCATCTTGAATGGGATGTGAAATAATTGCCAAGAGAAAATGGTTCTGCTAAAGAAATGAATGGCCTCTTGTTGTGGAATCAAAGATCTCCCAAAAAATGAGAAACATGTTCTTGATACACGGGCTAGTTCGAGGAATTAACTGCAAACCACTTTGTAGGGCTTGGCTAAGTTTTAATTTGCCTTACTATGCAGAATAGCCATTTTAGATGTGTGAATTATTTAAATGAAGTAGGTTGTACTAATATCCTCCTTTTATCATGTAGGGAGGAGGAATGGCCTATAAATGCAACAGGACAAACTAATCCCATGGAAGAAGAAACAGTATGAAAAATGAACAGGGATGAGATGTTAATTGATGACTAAAACATCAAAAGCTTTCTAAAATGTTGTCTAAGCAAAATTTAAGTAGCATTTCTGTGTTAAAAAAAAAAAAAAAAAAGGAAAAGTTGTGAATGGGGTACAAAACATCTATACAGCTTTATTTTACTTACCTAATAGTTCTGCAATTCCTAGATGGATTTCAGGTGCGTGGCTCAACAGCGGCTCCTTTTTTTGGCTGTAGTATCTACCAATATTGTCAAACAGCAGCAGCTTCCACGTGTCTGCCTGATCTGGCTGATCAGGCAAGTTCCTGCTGATATCCACCACCATATGATCCGGAAGGTATTCCAAGCAATCTATTGCTGCCGAGAGCCACTCGTCTGTCCTGGAAGACAGGGGGGGGTTCAGGTCTGTGGCACTGCCCACAGGCGCCTTCCAGAGCTGTTTGATTTGGTTTGCGCAGAAAGCAGGCAGACTGGTTTGTCAATCCCAGGGAAAACTGCATGTGTAAGTACTTAAATACATTAGAAATTCTCACACACACAAGGCACTTCACCTGACACACTCAGGTGGATCACAGCCATATCCCTCCTTGTTATGTATTTAATCAAGATGAAGAATTAGTAACCCACACAGGTAAACAGTCACAAGCAGTTAAACCTAAAGTCAGTGATGTCCTCTACTGGGAGATAAGGACATAATTACTGCTGGATAAACAGAAACATGAACCCTGATCTGATTCGGGCTGGTAGAAGTTGTTCAGACAATGTTTTTAACTCTATGCACAGTTTCAAGCTCAGCTTTTTTGGCTCTTTTAATACAGCAGGAGGAACTAAACTACTCCCTCAAAAATGTTTTAAGGGAAAACTTTCAGGACAGTAGTAAAAAGCTCTGTTCTT